TAATTTTATCAATTATTTAATTAAAAACATCTACTTAATAGGTTTATTAAATGGCTACACAAATTGCTTTTCTTTTTTCTTTTTAATTTGTAAACAAGAGTAATCATAAAGGCGTTGAGGATGTCATACAGTTCAATAAAAAACTTAAATAAGTAAATGTCAAGCATTAAAGTTTGTTAGCTATCCCTCTTTCCCATTTTATAATGGTAGCATTTTTCAACCAAAAAAAAAAAAAAATGAAGTGAACAAAGATAATGATAATATAAATGGTAATATTATAAGAAAGCAAGTTTTCATCCGAGACCATAAGAAAATTTTCAATGAAGGTATTTATGGGTTTCATCTAAAGAGCTCTGTTAATAAGGATAGACAATTTTTTTTTAACCAAATGAGACTTTTGTTTAATATTATCTCATTTTCAAATAAGTGATTACAGAATGTAAAGTACTCTTTAAATATTTTTTTATGCTTAAGCACTCTTTAAATTTTTTTTATAATGTAATATATGAGTATATATCTTTTCCATTGACTCTAAATTCATAAAAAATTATTACTTTTTTAGTTTTTTTTTTTCGAATAAAAATTGAATGGGCAATTTTTTTAATAAAAAAAATATCTTGCCAATCATTTTAATAACGAGTGTTTAAAATAAACCAAGTGCACAAATCATCGAAACTTATTAAATATGAGGATATAAATGAAAAACTATAAAAAAAACAGGAGCTAAAGTGAAATTTATGCAAAATCATTTTAGTCTGTAAAACACTGTCTATTTTCGACCTATTTTCTCCGCCTCCGTTTGTCCCTTCTGTGCCACACAGCCCTCGGCAGATTACTGAAAATGGTGAGCTTCTTCCTTTACTCTCTATTTGGATGCTAAGAAGAGAAATTTTACCTTTTTGACTTTCTTTCGTTTTCTTGCCATCCAATCAGAGTTCCTCTTCTTCTCCACTCTATTATCCTTTAATTCATGTGCATATGATTCTGGGTGTAGCCTTTCAAGAGGTACGTCGAGATTGGGAGGGTGGCCTTGGTTAACTATGGCAAGGACCACGGGAAGCTCGTCGTCATCGTTGATGTCGTCGATCAAAACAGGGTACATAATACTTCACTAACAGTTTTTTTTTTGTTCCAATTATGATCGAAAATCCGGAGAACATTGCTAAATATCCATTTAGAGCTTTATTTTATGAGTGTAATCTTAACTATTTTCTGCATTTTGGGTTTCTTTTTTCTGTGCTTAAGATTTAGTGCATAACTTATTGTTCACTTTTCTTTGCTTTTGATTACATTCTCTTTCCCCATGAAAAAACTATGTTAATGGGGGTTTGAAGATAATGTAATTTGAGCTGAGAGAGTTATAAATATGTTTCAGTAATGTAAAATATAAGAAAAATTAGCTTCAGAGTAAATATTTATCTTAAATTTATCAGTTTTGAGTGGTCTGTGATTTTAGCTCAATCCACAATTCAAGACTTTGTGTTCATCTAATTGTATTAGCTACCTTGTGGGCATTTATTTGTGTTTTCCTCTTTCTTCCTTAATCCTTTTTAGTCCCAACCATTAGAGAAGTAGGGCAAAACTAGGGTTGGATATGCTTTCTCGTGCTTGGGTTTTTCTTTGGTGTGCTTTATATTTTTCTGCTCTTCTTTTAGAATCTCTTTGCATGTTCACTGATCTATTTTTTAATATGCAATCATGGGTTGGTAAAGATTCATTGGCTGATTACTCCTATTGAATGTGTTACAGGCTCTTGTTGATGCCCGTGCTATGGTCAGAAGCCAAATGAACTTTAAGAGGCTTTCTCTCACAGATATCAAAACTGATATCAAAAGGGTTCCTAAGAAGAGGACTTTGATTGAAGCCATGGAGAAAGCTGGTGGGTTTCATGTAGTTAAAAATGCAGAGAAAATGTCACTTTGGTTCCAAATTATTGTTTTATTCCTGAAAACTCTTAATAATTGTGCAGATGTTAAAAATAAATGGGAGAATAGTTCATGGGGAAGGAAGCTGTTCGTGCAAAAAAGAAGGGCATCTCTTAATGATTTTGATAGGTTCAAGATCATGTTGGCAAAAATTAAGGTGTGTAATAATTCAAATATTGATATTGCATATTTATATTACTTCCGAGTTTGGACTTAACTGGTTCTTATAAATCCTTGGATTATTTGGTTCCTCCTTCTCATTACCCACCTCTGTCACGAAGTTGAATCTTCATCCACTTTATAAAGTACTTGCATCTTTAGAAATTAAATACTTGCTCAGTTTAGTTGAATTGGCACATTAGTAGTCTTGACCCCAGAACCATATCTTAGATTACAATTACTTCTAGCAGAGTTGGTGTTGCAGATTTGCATTCCAATTCAGGTTATTAAGTAAACTTGACAACTGAACCTCAACTGAAAGAATAAAAAAATGGAATCGGTATCATGAACCTAATCTCTCTTGGTTATTTTGCATTATGAAGCTTCTTGTGTATCATCTAACTGATAAAGGATTTATTCACTTCTAGAGTGAAATGTCCATGCCTCTCTCCTTATGTACCTTTTGCATGCCATTACAATTTTGCAAACCTGATGTGTTTTAATTGTGCATTGCAGAGGGCGGGACTTGTCAGGCAGGAGCTTGCAAAACTGAAAAAGGAGAACGCAGCCTAGACTTCTTTCTTCCATTTAAATTTTTTCAATCTTGTTAGACTTAAAGCTTTCGTTTTTAGTTTTTAGTGTTTACTTTTCAAACAAGCTGTTACAACTTATAAATAAACACATTTTCTGGAAACGTGTAACTTGGTATTTTGGCACCATAGTTGTTTGAGCATGATTACTAAGTGTACTGATGTCGTGAAGCATTTTATGCACCATCCTTTCATTTACCAGAACATCTAACAGTGTTCCGTGATAACATGAATAAAAGAATTTGAGCCTTTTCAACCCTCATCTAACAGTTACAAGAGTTAACAGTCCCACCTTATTCATTCGTTTTTTCACTTTTCCGATTTAGTTTGGTAAAAGACCATATGCCGAATCCAATGCACAATAATTAGAAAAATGGGAGTCGGGAAACTGAACAGCCAAGACAACTACCATCTATAACACTATAGCATACTATTGATACCTGGGGATTGGGGAATGATGCCGTCTCAGAATAGTCACTGTTTGGAGCACAACTTAATATAGGTGCAAAATATCCAGCAGATTGCCTGGAACACATCCATATTCAAGGTAAATGGCTGCTTAAAGACCACTATTCAGGTTGCAATCAGTTTGCTCCAAGGAGTGTATCCCCATAACAAGTCTTCGCTTGAAATCTATTTGATTCGTCAATTTCCCATGGAAGTTTAGGTTATCGCAACTTAAAAAGGAGCTTCAAGGGATTCTTCCCAAACATCAGCACTCCCATTTGATGCATCTTCAACATCTTCTTCCATTGAAAGCCTGATGTATTCCCGGTGTGCAAAGCGATCCCATTCTGTTGATGTTGGATCCTCACGTTCCTGCTCTCACAACAATGTCGAGTGTCATTCTCGAGAAATAATCTATAGTAACATTCAGTCCCCAGGTACAATCATGAAATGGCTAACCTGGCGAATGAGAAATGGGTCTCGAGTTTCAAATGCCATGAACTTATTGAGATTGAATAGGATATTGAAAACATTTCCTGAAAGTTTGCATCCTTTCAAATCACGTAGTGTGATATAATCTTCCCTCTGCAAACGAAAGAAGTAAACAGGAAGTAAATTCACATCTCACAAGTAATATAAGATCATAATCCATAATAAAGAAGGTGGCTCTGACCTTAGGTGCAATCATGTCAACTATTTGACACAATATATCCTCAAAGAGCACAGGTTCTAGGCCTATGCATTCCATCCGATGTAACTGCTCCTCATAAAAGAATTGCAATTCATTTGGTCTAAGCACTCCATTTTCATCCAAATCTATACACTTGAACCTGGGTAACAAATTAATTAGGCGCACGGCTGACGCTGACGTATTTAATTCCATAGATGTTGCAAACTAAATCTTGATTTCAACACAATAAACAGAACAAGTTTTATCAAGAGATTTTTTTTATTAAGATAACAAATGAGACAAATAAATAAATAAATAAATAAATATGACAAACATGCACTGAGAGAATTTTGCAACTCATAAACAGGAACAATCAATTTGTCATAAAACAGATGGAATTAAGTAGAAGATTTCCAAATGATATGATACTAAAACGGGAATGAACTATACCAATACTCCAGGCTAGGTTCAGAAGATTTGTCTTCCTCTGCAAGAATGAAGTAAACAAAATCTTCATAATCCATCTTCCCTTCAACCCTGCTGTTAAACTTCCTTGGAACCTGTGGGGAATTCAAAGCAATAATATAACTGAAGTTAAGAGTCATAAAACCTTACCTCATATTCAAAATTGAAGCTAATTTAATGCATTAAATATGAACAATAAAAAGTATGACAAAGTACAAACCAACCTGTGAAAAGATTCTGTCAACAATCCTGTATGTGAGGCTGTGATTACCATATCTAAGGAGGCTCTCTCTGTCAATCAAGAAATCATGGTCTGTGTCCATCTCCCAGAACTTACAGTATATAACATAAAAGTGTTCATATGAGAAGTACCTGAAATTAGAGAGGAAAAGGAAGTCAAAGTTTAAATCAGTCAAAAATCACAGAGATATTACACAATAAAGCCAAGACCCCCACTCCCCACTGCCTTTCCTAGATTAGTGATTTTAAAACTAAAAACTGAGATACAGAGACAATTATATTCTCAAATGACAACCAAACATCATCTGGATACAACAATGTTATATTCTGAGCTGAGTAGTTTTCAAATCTAGGATAATTAAGGTACCATATGCTATCACTGTCAAAATTTTGGAAAAAAAAAACTGAAATCCAAATTTTTTGGTTGTCAAATACTTATGAAATGCTACTGCAGGATTTCACTTTTTCAGAAACCAAGAACTCTAACCAAACAAATTTTCTTCAATGGTTCCATTTTTTCTGGAAACCCAAACAGGTATCAGCAATCATAAGCAATACCAAATGGTACCTAAGAAATTAGTTTACATGGTCAGGTCAATCAGATTGAATTCTTTCACAGAAATAACAATTTATCTATGTATTCAAAAGATGGAAGGATAAGGTTATGCTATTTCTGAAACTCAAAGGAATAACATAAGGACTTTATGGTCAGCATTTCCATTAAAAAAAAAAAAAGAAGTTACATTGAAGGTTTCCTTTGGCACCAACCTAGGAACTTTGTTAATGTCGTCTTCCTCATCTGCTTGTTGCATTGCAGCAATAAGATTTCCATGTTTCAGCTCCCTCAGGGTAAGATGACCATTCCCTGATCTGTTTATATAATAAAATATTCTGTATATGACAGTTTCAGCTGGAACATTAACAAGGAAATTTAAGTTGTCTGGCATCAGTGATAAAATACTGAAATTCTAATTGATTGGAGAACAAAAAGAACAAAAGATGAGAATATCCATAGTTCAAATGAAAATTGTTTGGTTAATCTATCAACCAAAAATAAAGAATTTCATCCTGTTTAATTACAGTCAATTTAGGATTGTATGGTGGACTATTTACACAAAATTAATGCAACATTTAATTTCAATAATATATATTGGACCAATATATATATATATAACCATATATTTTATCCAAAACAAACAAGCTTTGTCTCTCTTCTTTCTTCTTGAGCCCCTTCTGCCCAGAAGCTCATCTTTTAAACTTTTAAAGTGATATTTAAGATGCACAATGCTGGAGAAAAAAATACACGTTATAAACATGTCCAAAATAGTTAAGTACATTTTTATGCCACAATGGTTATGTATCTTTGATTTCTTGTCCCTTAAAGGCATTGCAACCAAAATCCAAGCATAGGTAATTGGTCCAAGAAGAGAGCAGGGAAGCAAGAGCAAGAAAGTTACAAACATAAGTGTCCCGAAAAAGTAAAAACAAACTTTTGGTGCATTTACATTGCAACCAGTCAAAGCCTCAAATAGTAAATTTAAGCAGCTTCCAGTTAATTAGTACATACTGTATCTTTCTTGAAATTCAGGAGTTCCTCGTAGGAATTCTAATCCTGGATGAGTCTCCAAAAGTTCTTGAAGAACAAGTTTGAAGTCAACCTGCATTGAGAAATTAAAATGAAAGAAAAATCATTTCCAGAAAAACAAACAGAAATCACTAATCAGACAAAATTTTCTAAACAAATTGCAAGAGGAAATGAAAGGACAACCAGACAAACCTGAGTAAGAAAGTTGTGGTCTGACTGCTTAAGAATTTTAAATACTTGAGTGGCTCTATCCATTGCTAGCATGTTGCCGTCAACCCAAAACTTAATGAAGGCATCCCTAAAAACAGAAGATACATACAACTAAGCATACATGACAGAAGTACTTACGTAATTGGGGTTAATGGAGCCAATAAAATGTTCTACTGGATCAAATTTAAGCAACAAATGTCACATTCCTTTCCTACAAGCAACTTCCATCAGCCAACAAAGAAAAATGAAGTACATACCTTGTCACTATCCCAGTACAGTCAATATCTATCTTTCTAAAAAGTGCAGACGAAAGGAATGTTGGTAGCTTGCAAACTTCCTTCGTCACTGGTTTAAACTCTGGATATTCAATGAAAATAAACTTTAAATCCATACGCATCTTGAAAACATAAAAGAGAAATACAGATCAAATTGACCTCTCACCATCTATGTGCAATCCATTTGGATGATCATTAAAAAGATGATTAATACTAGAAAGACAGTGTTCTTTCAGATCTTTTGGTGGTGGACGACCATTTTGAAAATAGAACTGCAAGCAATTGTCAGACCAAAACCTTAAGTAAGTTAACTTCAGCATTCAACACTAACATTACAAAGCTCAATTATGGCAATATCCTACAATACAGTTAGATGCAAATCAAACCTGAGGAATCTCTTCTTGTATTGGCTCAGTAAAAAATTTTAATGGGGAGCCTAGAGACGAAGGGCTATTCCTTTGCTTTGATGTGCAAGGAGAAACAGCTGAACTTCGTGGTGAAAGTGGAGGTGCAGTACCAGCAGGGAACATGGAAGGCAGTGAATTGCTACCAGCAGCATTTGCACTTGAGACATTAATGGCAGTCCCTGCCTTTGCATCATCTATCAAAGATTTCACCTGATCTCACGTCAAAAGAGGGAATATAAAAAAAAGAGGGCTTCAGATAACAAGATTAAAACCATTGGCAACAAAGGAACTATATAGTAAGGTGGAAACTCAGTGTATAAATGGACGAAAATTAAATTCTATTGAAGATAACAAATGTGACAAATCTCCATATTAAACATGTGTTTCAAAGAATAATCTCTAATTCTTGAATGCTTGGACCAATTCAATATTCTCTTAAACCAATGTCAAGGGTAACCATATAACACGATACCATAGTTTCACATAAATATGTAAGATTAAATCACTATCATAAAGAGATTCCACAGGAAAACTAAACAGCAGCAATACCCCGCCACTCCTTAATTAAAAGAAGAAAGAAGAAATATTGTAACAAAAACAATACAAAAAAAGTGTTACCAGTCGGGCTGTGTCTGGAAGAGAAAGCCACTGAGAGTACAATTCCTCCACAAGCTGAGGACTCAATTTAAGAGCAAATGGTGACACCTCATTAAGCAGCAAGAGTCCGGCGTCCAAGCAAGCAACCTCCTCTGCCGAATCAATATCCATAGCAGTCTTTCTATCTCATCAAATTCAAAATTCAAGCTCCAAGCTCCAACCTTTACCAACCCTTCAAATGCAACAGTTTGACCCCTCAAACAAGAAATTCAAAGTCACTAAGCAGAAGTCAATTCACAATTTAGATTCTCCCACGCGCAAGCAAAACGCCGAAAGCCCAAAACCAATCCTCAAAACCTACTGGTTTACAAAAAGATTACCAAAACTTGCTCCAAACGTCCGGAAAAAGACCTATTGTAGTCTCTCACGCAAGCAAGACGCCAACTTTTGACTAGCTCCCCAAAACCCTAGTCCTCAACGAACCCAACAAAAAGAACCGACCCTTGAATACTTCTCCGGAATACTTGACTTGTTTGGCTTTACAGAACGAAAGAGAACAGTACAAAAACATTTCAGCGGAGCATTTTCTCTTTGATTTTGCTTCGAAAAAATATAGGGGAAAATCGAAAACCGAACTCCGTTGCTGAAATGGGATTAAAAGGAGTAGCGATAGCTTGTTCGGAGACCTCGCCGGAGTTTGTAAGGGAAAAGGAAATGCAGAGCAAACCCCCCCCAGCTTTTCTCGGAAACGACGGAAATTGAAAACCCCTGCAGAGTGCAGCACGCAGAGACACAGGGCAAGAGAAGAGAACGTCACAGAGTGGTTATTGGCAATTATTAAATTATATTATCAAATTAACACGTATACATGGTTGACTAGAAGTCCATCCTCATGAACTTATCCACTCCATCAAGAAATATCAGGTGAAAAATGGTTAAATCACCATTTTTGGTCCCTATGCTTTTTTGAGGTTTGGAGTATAGGTGTTTTTGCATTCAGTTCCACCTTAACCTATCACTCTGGAATTTTACAAAAAAAAAAAAAGGAAAAAAAGTTACATGTTTTGCATTGCAGTCTAAATTATTGAGGATTGTAAAATGAAAATTATTAAATAGGAAAGTAAATCTTTAATATTAAGAAATTTATTTTTATTTAATGTTTAATATTATATGATTTAAAATAATTTAAACTGTATTATATTTTTTAATTTATAAAATATAAAAAATAATAAAGAATATGATATCCCAACTCCTTCTACAATCATTGGAAATATCAACTTTTGGAAAAAAAAAAGGAATATGAGTTTTTTGTTTAATTTTTTATTTAAAATTGTAAATTTTATTAGTTTTTAAATTAGATGATAAATTTATAATTTTTTATCTAAAGATACTAATTTTATATTTTATAAATAAAAAATAAATAATTAATTAATTATTTATCATATCAATATTACTATTTATTTAATTTTTAAATAAAAAATAAAAATTTATATTTTTAAATAAAAAATTAAAATTTTTTCATTTTATTTAACAACCAAAAAGTTCACATTCTTTTTTTTTTTAATAAATTTATAAGAGCTTGAATTTAAACCATTACTCTAAAAAAAGAGAAGAATGCACTTATACATATTTTCCCCTCACTACGTCACTTAAAGGAAGGCCAACTGCAAAAAGGTTCACATTTTTATTATTAAAAAAAGGCAAAACTCACATGTAATAATCTAACTAATTAACAACGTTGCTTATTTTGAACTTATCTCAGTCATAATTTAATGATTACAAAAGAAAAAGTATAAACTAATTACAGCAATAGAATCGTGGATTCAATAATTCATTTTTAAATTTTAGTATTTGAATTTAGTTAATTGAGAGTTTGATTCCTATTAATTATTTAAAAAATTTCCTATATTCCTATAATTCTCTATGTTAAAAAAAAATTACGGCAATAATGTCATTCTTAATCAAAAGGCATATTGAAACTACAAATATTAC